GCTCTGCTGCCGCACAGGCCTCATCGCCCCACTCTATTCCAACCTCTGGCCAGGCCATCCCTCTACTCTCCCACAACCCCTATTATTCCGCGGCGACGACAGCCGAACCAGTCAACCCTCATACTCCTCTCCGCGTGGGCATCCACTGTCGTGTCTTCCCCGGCTCTGCGTCGTCCCCTTCCTAGGCCTCGCCGTCGTCCATCGCCTCAGTGCTCTCGGCGTGGCGTGGTCAATGTGGTCAAGGAATGACTTCCATCGGAAAAGTATTGTACGTGGAGAGGCTGACAGCTGGGTCCACAGCCGCAGCAAGGAAGTGCAACCTTATTACGCGTAAAATAATTATTCCTCTACCTGACAGCAGAGATCCACCGGACAGGCCACCATATTATGCGAAAAAAACATTTCCCCCTGGCTGCTGGGACCCACCAGCTACATCTTCGCATGCAAGGAAGTGCGCCCATATTATGGGCAAAAAATGATTCTCCCCTTGATAGCTGGGACCCACCAGCAATAACTTCGCACGCAAGGAAGTGCCTTCTTATCCTCCCTGAGAGTCAGGACACACATGGTCGAAGCGTACGTAGCATTGTCATTCTGGTCGCGAACGTGTACGTACATATTGGTCGATCGATCTGTCTGCAGGCTGCAGCGATGAACCATGGCCGAGTAAGGAAGGGCGCGTATCGTAGTAGAGGCGCAGACGTAGTATGTCACGCAGTCCCGTCAATATCATGTACACGCACTTACAACAAGGGTGCAAGAAAGTAAATACGACCACATACATACATATGGGCGAGGTCTCAAACACCTACTTGCGCATACGTATGACTAGGACTCATGTACATGGAGAGGCAGCAGAGAGTAGCGACGGCGTCCTGTTCATCATAGCCAACTGGTTGGGTCAGAACGGAGAAACTGCGTCATCGTGTTCATCGGGAGGCAACAGAATGTGTCGTGTTCATTGGGAGCCAACCGGCTTGGACGGAACAACCAAAACGAGGCCTACCGCAGAATAGAGGAAACGGCCTTCTGTTCGACCACCTACGGTCAAAACGGGATCCTGTTCACCGGGAGGGGTCTGGCGTACCGCAAAACGGAGGAAACTGACTTCTCTTCGACCTCCTACGGTCGAAACGGGCTCCTGTTGATCGGGATGGGTGTGGTGTACCGCAAAACAGAGGAAACAGACTTCTCTTTGACCTCCTACGGTCGAAACGGGGGTCCTGTTCATCGGGAGGGGTGTGGTGTACCGTAAAACGGGACTCCACGGGCTACTGTTCATCCACCGTCTACTGCCTCGCTCCAGCCTCCATGGTCTAGTGTTCATGCACCGTCGACCTCCTCCAGCCTCCACCTGCGGCTGTTCATCCACGGCGTCTCCCTCCTGCCTCCACCAGCTACTGTTCATCCACGGGCTCCTGTTCATCCAGCCTCCACCGGCTACTGTTCAACCACCCCTTCATGGGCTACTATTCATCTAGCCCTCCACCAGCTATTGTTCAACCAACCCTCCACGAGGGCCTGTTCATCCACCCCAACCGGCTTGATCGGGGTCCTGTTCATCAAGCGGCAATGAGCTCGATCTACTACCACGGGGCCCTGTTCATCCAACCCCCACCAGGAACTGCTCATCCAACCCCCAACAGCTCACTGTTCATCAAGAGGCAACATGTTCGATCGGCTTCAGTTAGTAGTAGTAGCGAAGGAATCGCTCGATTGGGTTCAGTTAACAACCAGGGATCGACCAATCGCTCGGGTTCAGTGACGCGTAACCAGTGCAATCGCTCGGGTTCATAGATGAATGCCTCGCTCGGGTTCAGTTAGAGCCCAACGCCTCGTACCCATGTGCGTACGTGTATGAGAGAAACGTGCAATCCCTCCGTGTATCGCTCGGCTCCGACCACCCACCGTAACCGGGAACTCCCCGATATTTTCCTCGCCCTCGCTTCTACCATGGTTTTTTCCGTCATGGACGGCCCAAAGAATGGCATGCAGATGCGTCTCCAGCTCGCCCAGGACGAAAAGCCCATTTTCTGTCATGATTTTTTGTCATAGAAGTAGGAGCCCACCACATCTATGATGATACTGGGTTTTGTCACAATTATCGTCATAGAAGTGTCATAAGCATGATAGGAAAAAAAATTGTTCGGCCCAAAATGTCACGAATGTGTCTTTTTTTGTAGTGGAAAGCAATGGAAAATGCTAATGGTCGAGGGAAATACAAATGCAGTTCAAACATAATCATTTGCAGACCAGGCTGCAGCTGGTCTTTGCGCCAATGACGCAACGGGTCATCTAGTAGATTAATAGAGGAAAGCATTGTGGGGACCAATAAACTTTGAGTAAGCATCTCAATCATTTGACTTACAAAGCACATAGGATAGAGGCATGATTTCTTTTGCCTTGTTGGGAGTGGACTTGCCCCTAGTGGGGTTCCCATTCACAACCATATCATTACCCTTGCCTTTTCCTTTATACTTGTGCCACCCACAAATACAACCTTTTGAGGGGTTGTACTCTTTTGAAGAGTGGCATTCCTCTTCTTGCTAGAACTTGGATCAAACCCGTGGGCCAAGATTTGTCGAAGATACATGCGTTGCGGTCCTTTCATATGTGCCAGGCAATGATCATGATGATCAAGGATAAGCCTTAGTAGAGGGAGGTTGGCGTGTGGGAGCACGAATATGCCCACCAGACCACAAAGGGGGTCGTCGAACATGCGGGCGATGCCGTCGACCGACACCAAGTGAAAACCTCATGGCAAATTTGGCGCGAGAAAGGGCATCCAATCACAAGGTGATGCATGTTTTCTAATACCTTATCAAAGAAGGAGCAATATTACTCGTGGGGGAGGCCACGTCAAGCCAACCGGCTAGCCATCCAGCAACGGTTGACAACAGCCAGCCAAGACAACGCCTGGACTTGAATGGGAGCCCAAGTCATCCAATGAACGATCAATTTTGTTTCATGCATTTTTAATATAGTGCAGACGCATATGCTCATACATTCGCACATGTACTCATCCCTATCAATGAACGCAGATTGATGAAGTCATCATAGACGTCTTCGTAGTCGATGGGAACGTCTCCTTCCATTGAAGGAACATCGCCGAAAGGTCTGGAAAAAGTTCAAAAAAATTCAAGCACCAATGTCAAGTCTAGGACTTTGAACCCTGGTGAGTTGGTTTCGCCACAAGGAACCTAACCATCTGAGCTTAACACTCAGGTCGCATTCAATGCATTGTTATTGGGTAAATTTTGAGAATGATATACCACGCAAAATGACATGCAGTTAGAGCATCTACAGCCGCGGTGCCCCAAACCGGCCTCAAACGCCCGGGCAGCCCGCCCGATCACTGACTGGTCACGAAAATCTAACCCAGACCGGCGCCTCGAACGGGTCTCAAATGCCCGGGCTGACCGACACCCCACATATCCAGCCCAAATATGGGGCGGATATGGGGGACGCCAGGGTTCTCCCGCCACGTAGGATTGACAATGGGGTCCCACGCGGAAACCCCCGGAAACCCGGCGTCCGGCAGACGTCTCCTCCATCGCCGCGGTGTGAACACCTCGTGGCGCCGCTTTGGCTCGCCGGCCGAGGCCAAATCGGCTATTTAACCTGCCCGTCATCCCACAACCCTAGCCCATCCACCTCCTCCTCCTCTGCGCCGCCACCCGTCTGCCTCCTCTCCCCCGCTCTCTGACATCGCCATGGTCTGGCGCAAGATCACGACGTACGCTATGCTGACGCTGGAGCGCCGGAGGCAGATCGCGGAGGAGATCCAGGCAAGGTGCGCCGCCCGCATTACTGTCAGTCTGCCTTCGAACTCGTCGAAGCAGGAGGAGGAAGAGGAGCAGAAGCCGGAGGAGGGGGTGGAAGAGCAGCTACCGGAGCCGATGAAGGTGGCAGATCCGAAGGAGGAAGTGGCGGATCCGGTGGATGAGGAGGCGGAGCAGCCTGCTCCACGGTTCACCAAGGAAGAGGCGGAGGCGGAGTTCGCCGTCGCCCAAGCCGCGGAGATGGCGGAGCAGCAGGCCATCCTGAAGTCCATCCAGGATGAGGCCTATGTGGAGGCCAATCCGCAGTTCCTCCGGCAGGAGCAGACGGCGTCCGATGTGCTCTTCGCCGAACTTGACGCGGAGATAGAGAAGGAGGAGGCTGGAGTGGAGAGCCGGAGCTATAGCTGCCACCCATGTACCCACAGCCGGGGCACAGAGATTGCCGACATCTTCGACGAGGAGTAGCTACGTAGTACGTAGGTTTTTAAATTTCCATGCTTTTGTATGGATTTGAGTATTTAGTATGAGGTGTGTGGATGCAGTTGTGTTAATTTGAGAAGTGTCTCGTCATTACTCGCGGAAACGCCCGAGCGTGTCGATTTGTCATATACTGCTGTAGATGATCTTAAGTACTCCCATTTAATACGGTGCAAAGACACGATCAAATACAAATATGGGCATATGAATTCGAAATAGAATAGAACAATTTCCAAATCCTGGTTGTTTTAGAAATATAAAACAAAAACGTCCCTCGGAAAGGAAAAGAAAAAACGTTCAGTTCTGTCTGTATCAGCCAGACCTCTCCTCTCGGGTATCGGCGCCGTCTCGAGCTTTCGCACCGCCTAATTCCCAAACCCGGCGCCGCCGTGTCACCCCTTCCCCTACGCCCACGGTCGCGCCTCCAGGCCTCGTCCTAAAGCGCGCCACGCCGAATTCTTCTCCCCCTCCCACCCCCCTCTGCCCGATTGGCCTGGCGTGGAGATCCACCCCCGCGGATTTTCTCTTCTTGGTAACGAAGACCTAGCTTGCTTTGTATATTTTATTTTTTTCTAACGTTTTCTTTTGATGCGAGCAACCGAATCTTAATACGGGGTTATGAAATTGATGTGTTGAATTATAGAACTATTGTGGAACTGCTCTAGAAAGTTTCTGGCGAGGGTTGTCCGTTTATGTTTCATGTCTTGTTGATTACCGCTGTCACGCTTGCAGGCCTGAGACATGTCTCATTATCAGGAGCACAATGTTGAGGACATGGAGGATGATTACGACATGGATGATCCGGTAGATGACATGGATGGTGAAGATTACCTAGGGCCGGAGGCTAGGGACGACTCTGATGAGGAGGATGATGAGGATGCCGAAGCGGTGTGTATCTGTCTGTTGATTTTTGTTAATTTGATTCTGTAGGCTTTACAGTATTCTTTAGCTAATTTACTCAGGTTGTTGACTTGTGAGGCATATTAATTAAGCAGTGAAGGGATAACTAGGCAGTTGAAATTGTTGACTTACTGCTATGTTAAGTTTGGAAATAGTGTGACACCAGACTTTCAAAGGATAGCTACAAGCCTACACAACCTTGAAGCCTCATTTTGCATTCAGCTGCCCTATACATTTTCCATGGTCCCCTTCTTGTATAACTTGGGTGTAGTTCTTAACGGCCTTTTCCTATCTTTTCTCTCTTCGCTTGCTGAACTTTCATAAAATTTGTTATGGTACATATCAGTGCAGTCCAATGAGGTAGGAAAAACAATCCAGTAGTTTTTACCTTTAAGTTCTTATATATATTTTGAGCCACCAGAGCTAAGATACATATGATTCAGTTTGTATCTGGATGACTAAATAAAGCTTTTGTTTGACTATTCCCATTGCTTGTATAGTCACTGGAATGCTCTAAAAGAAATAATTGTTGCTTTAGAATAAGGCATCCGACACATCATCTGAAGAAGCAAGACGTGGAAAAGACATTCAAGGAATACCATGGGATCGCTTGGAACTTACCAGAGAAGGATACAGGGAGACAAGATTATTACAGTACAAAAACTACGAGAACATACCTAATTCTGCAGAAACAGCAATGAAGGTATACCTTTCAAATAAGTTAATTTGTGTGGGAGAAAATATTCTGACATTGTGAGTGGCACTTCTGTAAAACAGGCATGCAAATCTACTGAGAAAGACGGAACATATTATGAGTTCAGGCGAAATACTAGATCAGTAAAATCTACTATTCTACACTTTCAGGTGAGTTCCTATACGTCCTTGTTTAGTAAGTACTCCCTCCGCCCCATAATATAAGAGCGTTTTTGACAAAAAACACTCTTATATTATGGGACGGAGGGAGTAACATATAAATCCTGCATTTCAATAAAGATGGTTTGTTATAAAAGTATTACCAGAGAAATTCTTATTTGAACATTTAAACTATCAGACACTAGATACTTTTTCAAAAGATGAAATGGTGCATTTGTTCAATTGCAACGTGTCCGCAGTTTTATCTAAATGTTCATACACGAAATTATGCTGTAACAATGTAACATTTATACCTAAGTACTGTATTACACAACAAGTGCCCAGTGATCAGAAATTCGATCTATATTTGCCTCTGTAATTATTTACTTACCATTTAGATGGCTGTGGAGAGGCTATCGAGAAACTTCTTAAATCATAGCCAACCTGCTCTCAACTTCTCTTCAGTTCACTATTATCACTTATGATGTATGTGCAATGTTTGTGTCTACCAATATTGCTCATAACTCTACATTTGTGCTTGTACAATACCTATTTCTGTTAGTAGTTCGCTAGAACGGGTCAATTCTGTAGTTCTTCAGGGGCTTACCTTCTTCTAACAGATAGCAGTACTAGGGAAGGGGGAACAGTCCTACCTGCTACCTGTCAGTGGCACGGTGGCGCCTGATAGCCATCTTTATGACCATGCCTGCCTCTTATTGCAGATAGATGCATTTAAAAACAATTAATTGAAGGGGTGCCTAGAGTATCTTTGATTATTAATGTATCTTATTGTGCCTATGATTGTATTTTCTATGCCTAGATGGATCGACTGTGTGAAAATAAAGTCCACCGAGAACTCCCATGGAATTTTGGGTTCTGGCTTGGTTACATCGGTCTATTAACCACCCTGCTTATTATTATTTGAGGAAAGTTATTCAAATAATGGTTTAACCTGTTCAAAGACTTCTCTGTTTCATGATTCTGCATGTAATTTTGTTTCAGTTGGTTAAAAAAAATGTGGAGGCTGCTTGTTGACAGTTTTAGTTGATGCTCCTTTATTTTTCTTCTGATACATTGATGTTAAATAAGAAATTAATCGAGCTGATCTATGGCTGCAGCTGAGAAATTTAGTATGGGCTACATCTAAGCATGATGCCTACCTAATATCACATTACTCGGTGCTACACTGGTCAGCATTGAGTGGTGTGGACACAGAAATTATGAATGTCGAAGGGCATATTGCACCAAGTGAGGTAGTGTCTATAGTTACTAAATTTTCATTGCACTTTCATGTGTTGCTCTACCTCTATTAATGATATTTCATTATTTCATTGCAGAAACATCCAGGAAGTTTATTAGAAGGGTTTTCTCAGACTCAAGTTAGTACGCTGGCAGTCAAGGATAATTTGCTAGTAGCTGGTGGTTTCCAGGGAGAGCTAATATGCAAGGTAGGATCACTGTATCACTTTGTTTTTGCACTGACCGTAAATTTTTTTGGGAGTTCTATCTCGCAATTGACTGGGAGAACCCAAACTTGTGGGTAGCTGCATCTTGCCGCGACAATCATCTTACCCTGCCCATTCCATAGTACCCTACCAGTGACCATCACCGGTGTTTCTCCTGCCTCACTCACCCACCCTACAATTTCCCTGCCCTATCAGCCCATCTTTCATGTGTCCAACTGCCATCGGTAGCACCTTTGTCACCTTAGTGTGTCCGCGCCCCTCCCCCTGTTCACTTGCTTCACGTCCTCTGCACTGGCTTTTCCCCCTTGTGCATAGTTCTCGTGAAGCTGCAGGCACCTGACAGAACCTCCTCATGCAATCTGAAGGTCCTGCTTGACTGCAATGCCCCTGTTGCTGATCCGATGGCTTGCGTTCTGTGGATACGAATTGTCTGCAGGCATTTATCTTTATAGTTCCCTTAAATTTGTCACTGTCTCCTATTTGTTACTACCTCCGATCCATAACAAGTGTCGCAGTTTTGAACTAACCTGAGTTCAAAACTGCGACACTTATTTTGGATCGGAGGGAGTATATATATGAACCCACTCTCTTAGTATTAGATTGTAACATATGATGAGGTTCCATTTTTCTTACGGAAACATGACAAGGTTCCATTGCCTCTCTTTGCTGGTGGAGATGTGTGCGAATGTGCTGTTAGCTATTTTCTCGCCTGGTTGCTAGTGCACCTCCTATTCAGTTAAATTGACGCTGTTCAGTTACAAATTCTGTGGACAAGTAACTACATATTACATTTATTTCGAGCTTGAGTATGCTGAAATATATTTGTGAGCGATAGTTTTCTGATGTTAACCTTGGTCAATGTGATGCAGAACCTGGACCAAGAAGGAATAAGCTTTTGCTGCAGGACAACATATGATGATAATGCAATCACCAATGCAGTGGAGATATTCAACACCTCTAGGTAAATGTTATGCTCGGCTGTCAAAGATTCAATTTTGCGGAACATTCTTTCATCAGTGGTGCAGGACAAAAGATTAAGAAACTAGCTGGACTGTAGCCACAAGATTACTCTTCCCTGGAAACTTCTTTCATTAGAATGTTGGGAACGAGCTCATATCAATAACTGCTGCCAAGAATTCTTTTGAAAGTGAAATTAATATTGATGTTTTTTCTCTGGTCCGTAATGTCTTCAGTGGTGCTGTTCACTTCATTGCATCTATTAACGACTCCGGTGTACGAGAATATGATATGGAAAGATACCAGTTATGTAAGCATTTCCGCTTTGGTTGGCCAGTGAATGTAAGTTCTGTTATTCACATTGCCATTTACGTTTTTTGGTATTCTGTACTTCATCTAGAGCAATACTTCTATATTATCATTTCTAACAAGCTCCAGCATTTTTGTCTTCATGAAATGGTTTCCTAAACCAAACTTGATATGTATAAATTAAATCTTCTGAACTGACGGGTCAAACCTAGAGTCTGCCAACAGTCGAGGCAACCAAAGTATAGTCGACGAAATCTAATCCAATCAGAACACTAAATTAAAGGAAATAATTAAATATTGATAATGCTTATCTCTTAAGTCTTGGTGCCGAATGTGCTCCTTCCCTTACTGGCTCTTCTGGCTGACCGCCACCGTAAGGCCCATGCCATAGCCTTGACCCTATAGAAGATGGTGCTTGACCCTGGAATTCAACTATACATCTGCCCATTTCAGTGTCAACTGCTAAACCATCACTTTGTTTTTCTCCACATCTTCTTTTATTATGTGGATAAAATTAATTTCTTGTCTTTCACTCGTAGCATTTAGGATAGCTCTTGAATTTACAGTATAGTTTCAGTGACTGATCCTTCTATTGGCGCAGCACACGTCTTTGAGCCCTGATGGGAAGCTTGTTCTCGTTGTCGGGGATGATCCAGATGCTTTGCTTATTGATGCTAATTCAGGAAAGGTAAATCAACATTCACATTTGTTAGGTTTAAAGCATTTTGCAAGTATCTATCTATGCATCTGAAGGTATAAAAATTAAACGTTTGGATCTGGACAGACTGTTCATTCTATGAAAGGTCACTTGGATTTCTCATTTGCATCGGCTTGGAGCCCTGATGGTCGGACATTTGCCACTGGCAATCAAGACAGGACATGCCGGGTCTGGGATGCCAGAAATCTCTCGCAGTCTCTCCATGTCTTGAGGGGTAACCTTGGTGCTATAAGATCTATTCGCTACACATCAGATGGTCAGTTCCTGTCGATGGCGGAGCCAGCAGACTTTGTCCACATCTTTGATGTCAAAAGTGATTATAACAAGAGGCAAGAGCTGGATTTCTTTGGTGAGATATCTGGCATGTCTTTCAGCCCTGACACGGACACACTCTTCGTCGGTGTTTGGGACAGGACCTATGGCAGCCTACTTCAGTATGGCCGCCTCTATAACTACTCATACCTTGACTCGCTGTTCTAAGGTCAATGCAAACAAGTGTTGGTTGGGCCTCTTGTGTGTCAGTATTGCCGATTTTCGTCGGCGCGACTATTAGGTACTCCATAATCAGATTTATGTTATAGATTGGTCATTCTTTAATAATTCATGTATCCTGTTTATGTGTACAAAAGAAATGTATACAGATATAGCTTTGCTTTGAGGTAGGAGTTGTAAGTTATGTTTCTAGGGCTAGTTTTCTCCATGAATTCGGATATAAACTTTTATCTGAGATGTGTACCGTGAACATCTGCTGCACTGACCGAAACTGGTATGCTTCGGTGGTATGTGCTATGCCGCAGTTGTGTGGAGCAGTTTGGATTGTATAATTGAGCCGTTATACACCTGTTTTGTGAATCCTATATACCTGAGAAGTTTGTCTCCACTATCTTATTTATCCTAGCATTCAACTTATCCACCTCATCAAATGCGCAATGTCAGCAAAACAACTGCATGTCCCCACGTCGTTGACTGAGCTTATCTCATTTATGAGAGCACTATTCCAGGTGGGTGATCTTCTCCCCGTTTTCTCCATAGCAGTGCGTCCATTCTTCTTTTTAAACACCTCTCCATATATTAATTAATACTATATTTAAAATGTGATTACAATTGTTCATTGCAGGTGTCACGCAAGGCGGGAAACTATTAAAAAGAGAACCACCTATCTATTATCAAAACTAAATTTAGCAATCGCATGCGCCACTGAATTGGCTCTTCTATTTATTTTGGACAACTTGAAATTTATCAGAAGCCTGAAAATGCCAAGCGCTTCCTTCTTGAGGTCAATGAATGGGTATTTGTCAAAACTTCCATTTGCAAGAAAAGAAGACACAAACACACAATTAGTTTTCAAAAAAAAGTAGGCATGTTAAGAAAAATACCGATATAAAGCTCAGCAAGCCATGCCTGAAGTTCCGCTTCATCCACGCCAGAACATAACCCAATAAAGTCCCAAGATGAGACAATGAGATCACCGTTATAGTTCCTAGTCACCACCCCAACGCTCACAACACTTAAACTCTTCACAAAACTTGCATCAACATTGATCTTGATATGGTTAGAAGGAGGCGGTTGCCACACCTCTTTGGATCTCACCACGGTGTTTCTTGGACCAAAACCCGCCACCACCTTCTTTCCTTTGTTATTGGTGACTACCTCATTAGTATCCTGACACGACATGAAGGAAGACCAGTAGCTTTCCAAAAATATAACGGAGCTTGTAACCGTTTCTTTTTTCTTTCCCGGAAATCAAGTCATTCCTCAAGTGCCAAACTCTCTAGAAAAGAAACAGAATGTGCTCCCTTTGAGAACAACTTAACTAGTCTAAAAAAATAAGTAACAAGTCCGAGAATAATTGAAAGCCTCTTCTCCTGGCAAATTCCAAACGTCTCTCAATGCCAGCAAAGTGCAAACTCTCTAGAAAAGAAACAGAATGTGCTCCCTTTGAGAACAACTTAACTAGTCTAAAAAAATAAGTAACAAGTCCGAGAATAGTTGAAAGCCTCTTCTCCTGGCAAATTCCAAACGTCTCTCAATGCCAGCAAAGTGCATGAGCCTTGGGGCAAGACATAAGAGCGTGAAAAGTGCTCTCATACTCAACCCCACGGATAGAGCAAGTACAAATGGTAGCTTGATGATGCAAAACTCTAGTAACCTAAACAGCCAAGCTATCAGACGCCGCAAGCCATCCAAAAATTCTAATCTTTTACGGGATATTGGCCTTCCAAATGATATCACACAACCTCCTTTCTCCGTGAATAGCAGTACTGGATTTCCCAATATTTTCTTTTCGATCCTTAAGCTTTAATGCCAGATTGTATGCACTCTTCACCGAAAACAATCAATTCTTTTCAAAATGCCAAGCAGTGAAATCACCATCCTCCAAGGATTGAATCCCCAACTTCAAGATCTCTTCCGCATCATGAGGATAAAAAAGATGTATGTCCCAATCCCTAGACTCGCTCTTGAATAACTCCGAAACCCATTTGAGTCGTCCAATTTTCTCACCCTCCTCGACCCTAGTCGACTAGGATCATGTAACCTAGACCACGGTACCCATATAAGCTGAGGCTAGACTAGTCAATAGAACAAGAAACCAAGAGTTGGAACTCAATCCCTCGATCATCTTTGTAACACCTATACACATTCAATGCAACTGACCAAAAAGTAGGATCTTATCTCCTTCCCGAGGGCCTGAACCTGGATAAACCCTCTTGTTTCCCATCTACTCTACTTGTCTGGTAAGAGTACCCTATCGAGGGTTCTGCCAAAAATAATTTTGACTAATTGCTATAATATTGTGTCTATCACCTAGTTTAAAAATAATCATGATATTTTAGGTGAGGTTTTTGGCCTTGAGAGTGCCAGGAGTACCCTAGTGAATTCTAATAACTGAGCGGGGAGGCTTCGAATTGGAGAAGGGCTGTGCAAGTGTTTGCGTGTCGAGTCAATATTTTGCGTCGATTCCAAGCCTTAATACTCCTGCCAAATAGAATCAAATCCTAGCCCACCATCCACCAATGATAAAACTATTGTAAATATGCCCTAGATGCAATAATAAAATGGTTATTATCATATTTCTCGTTCATGATAAATGTTTATTATTCATGCTAGAATTGTATTGACCGGAAACTTAGATACATGTGTGAATACATAAAGACATCGTGTCCCTAGCAGGCCTCTACTAGACTAGCTCATTGATCAAAGATGGTTAAAGTTTCCTAACAATAGACATGAGTTGTCATTTGATAACGAGATCACATTATTAGGAGAATGATGTTATGGACAAGACCCAATGGTAAGCTTAGCATATGATCGTATCACTTAAGTTTATTGCTATAACTTTCTTCATGTCAGGTACCTATTCCTAAGACCATGAGATCATGCAACTTACGGATACCAGAGGAATACCTTGTGTGCTATCAAACGTCACTTCGTAACTGGGTGATCATAAAGATGCTCTACAGGTATCTCTAAAGGTGTCTGTTGGGTTGACATAGATCGAGACTGGGATTTGTCACTCCGTATAATGGAGAGATATCAGGGCCCTCTCGGCAATACAACATCATAAAGATCTTGCAAGCAATGTGGCTAATGAGTTAGTCACAGGATCTTGCATTACGGGAAGAGTAAATATACTTGCCGGTAACAAGATTGAACTACGTACGGAGATACCGACGATCGAATCTCTGGCAAGTAACATATCGCTGGACAAAGGGAATTGCATACGGGATTGACTGAATCCTTGACATCATGGTTCAACCAATAAAGATCTTCGTTGAATATGTGGAATCAATATGGGCATCCAGGTCCTGCTATTGATTATTGATCGGAGAGGAGTCTCAGTCATGTCTACATGATTCTCGTGATGGGGAACGAAGCATGAAAATAAATAAAAAATCCTACGAACACCCAAGATCTAATCTAGGAGATGTATAACAACGAGAGGGGAGTGGTGTCTACATATCCTGGTAGACCGAAAGCGTTAACGATCTAGAGATCATGGTTGGCGTAGTCATACTCGCGTCGCAATCCAATCCGATCCAAGTACCGCATGTGCGGCACCTCCGAGTTTAGCACACGTACGGCTTGACAGCGTTCCCTCCTTCTTGATCCAGCAAGGGAGGGATAGAAGGTATATGAGATCGGAACCAACACGACGCGTGGTGGTGGTGGCATCAGAACTCCGGCAGGGCTTCGCCAAGCACTGACGAAACATGGAGGAGGAGTAACGGGAGGGAGACAGGGCAAGCACGGAAGGGCTAGCTGCCCCCTGTGCCTCCCCACTATATATAGGGGTGAGGGAGGGTGTGGAAGCCCTATCCCCCCTCCCAAGGCAGGGGGCGGTGGCCAAGGGGGGAGGAGTGCCCTCAAAGCCAAGTGGAGGCCCTCCCCCTTAGGGTTTCCCCTCCTCCATGCGCATGGGCCTTTTAGGGGCTGGTGCCCCTGGACCATTAAGGCCAGGGAGCCCCCTACATCCCATGATACTGTATGGGACGCGGTGGAACCCTTCGAGTACTTCCGTACCCCTCCAGAACCTTCTGGAACCTTCCGGTGGCTTGCCGGTACAATACCGAAAAAACCGGACTTTTCCATATATAAATCTTTACCTCCGGACCATTCCAGAGCTCTCGGTGACGTCCCAGACCACATCCGAGACTCCGAACAACCTTCAAATTTTCTACTATTAATATCTCAATACTACCCTTGCGCTACCGAACATTAAGTGTGCGAGCCTATGGGTTTGAGAACCATGCGGACATGACCGAGACTCCTCTTCGATCAATAACCAATAGCGGAACCTGGATGCCCATATTGGTTCCTACATATTCAATGAAGATCTTTATTGGTTGAACCATGATGTTAAGGATCCAGACAATCCCGTATGCAATTCCCTATGTCTGGTGATATGTTACTTGTCCAAGATTCGATCATCTGTATCTCCATATCTAGTGCTGGGAAACGTAGCATGCAATTTCAAAAAAATTCCTACATTCATGCAAGATCTATCTAGGATATGCATAGCAGCGAGGGGGAGAGTGTGTCTATGTACCCTCATAGACCGTAAGCGGAAGCGTTTCACAACGCGGTTGATGTAGTCGTACACCTTCATGATCCATACCGATCAAGTACCAAATGTACGGCACCTCCGCGTTCATAACATGTTCAACTCGATGACGTCCTCGCCTTCTCGATCCAGCAAGAGAGGCGAAGTAGTAGATGAGTTCCGGCAACACGACGGCGTGGTGACGGTGGTGGTGAAGAACAATTTCGCAGGGCTTCGCCTAAGCACTAAAGAAACTATGATGGAGAATAAACTAGAGGGTACGGGGTTGCCGGCACACGACTTGGTGAATCTTGATGTGTCTTGGGTGCTAGCCCGCCCCTCTATTTATATGTTGAGCCTTGGGGTCGAAACTTGGAGTAAAAGCCTCCTTAAAGTCGGTTTTACCCGAAAGGCAAGAGTCCTTCTCGGACTCCAGGAC